CATGAAAAACAAATAAACCAAGAGGCCACCAGGAAGTGCTCCTTTGATAGTATAAACCAAGAAAATACAATAGCCACTAAGACGAGGGAAATCTCATTTTAACTGCACACAGACTGAGAACTACCCCAACTTGGATACTGAGTAAAGTGACTCTTTTTTATTTTCTAAACTTTAATATGAGCCAGTGGATTCTGAGAGAACTCAGGGAACACCTTGAACAGTGTAACAAGCAGTGTGCACAACTTCAGCTCACACCCTGCTTTCCAGCAATGCTACCTGACAGGAAAGCCAACATGCAGGACTATGGTGGCCATAAGACACGCCAACCTTTGAAAAAACAAGTATGCAGCTCAGAATTTCTCTTCTTTGTCAATGCATGGATGAAAATTATAACATTTTCTCAAGCCAAAGGTTTTTTCCTTCCCCCCCCCCCAGAGGACCATATTGAAGCAATTAAAAAAAAATCTCTCTTATGATAGCTCTTCCAAACGTGGCTTTTTTTTTTTTCATTTTTATTGCAGCCACACGAGTTTATAATACTGTATATGACCCATTCACATGCCTGTGACAACTTTCCACCCACCACCGAGGAACCCTTCACCTTCCCTTATTCATGGGGCAGTAGTGGCCGAGTCTCCCTAGGACCAGGCTCTGGAGACGGCAGCAGATGGAACACACAGAGATCCTGCCCTCATGGAGCTGACATCCTAATGGGTAAGCTGCTTCCTCATCCGAGTGAAGTGTCAGCTTTTCTATGCTTCCATATTTATCCTACATTTCCCCTTTTTTAGGAGATCTGAAAACAGAGACACAGATGGAAGAAACCCAGGGCACCCAGGAGAGTTAGTACCCAACTCCAGGGTCAAGAGTCAGACATGTAATGTAGTCATGAAAGTCAGTGATCAGAGGTTATTTAACCTTTGGAAAGCTATTTGACACATACTTAGAAGTTTGTTCACTTAACATAGCACACTTCCCTCTGTCTGTCTTCTTATCCTCCCACAAACACTGAACCCCTTCAGTGCCTACAAACACACAACAATATATAAACTGTAAAGCTACAGAAGTATATGCACCACACACTAGAAAACCCCTCATGTCCACAAAAAGAATCAAACATTTTCAAGGACATGTCTACACAAACGCAGCTATCACTAATTGTGCCTGTAGACAATGACCACCATTACAAACAAGAACACACTGGGCCCAACCCACTTTCACCCAGGCTATGATTCAGCTGCCCTGGAGCTGTTCTGCCCATCACTCCACTAAGGTTCTAAAGATTAAACAGCCAGTAGCCCATTTCATATATGTGCCTGTAAACAAGAGGACTCAGCTTTAAATAATTATGTCAAAGAAATGACAACGGTGCTCTTTGCCAGAACAGGGATGAATAATTACAAAGCCAGGACATAATTAAGTAATTCTGACTGTCGGGCTCTTGAACCGTCGCTCTAATGTGCACGCCTGGTACACCCACCACACACAAGCCCTCCTGGACAGACCTCTGCCGCTTTCATATATATTTCCTAGTGCAGCAAGAGGGGGGTCATAGTCTGATGATTTTGGAGGCCTTTCTTTGGGGCATCAACCTTCTCTGCATCCAGCTGCACTGCCAATGACAAGATTTAATGGCCAATATTTGACAAAGAGATAGTTTCTTTAAAATTCTGGAAATGAGTGAAACCTAGCTATTGTAGGTCCATTAATTAATGTCTCTTTCCTCCCTCTCCCCCTCCCACACACACAACAGAGTCACCGGGAGCAGTTACTATAACATTAGCTAACACATCCTAATGAGTGACAGCATCTTTTGAGAACAATCAGCACTCAGACAGAAGGCAGCTTTTAAACAACAAAATCCAAAAAGCCAGCACTGAAGTAGAAATGAATCACTATGGGAGAAACAAGTGAGAACTCACACTCAAGTGCCAGGGCCCACCAGGAACCAAGCGAAACCTTCGTGACACTGGGGCGTGATTAGTTCCTAAGTAATTTGGCATTTGCATCAGCTGAGAACACCCAGACTGCCCGTTCATTCCCTCCTTGCAAGGCAAAGGCTGTGATTGGAGAGGCATTTTCCATTCCCCCAAATACTTTATGTCAGGAATAAAATGAAACCAGCTCCTCAAATCATGGCCCCCTTGATCATCCATCAGAGCATCATTCTGCTGAATAAGCACAACAGGATGCCTCTGCTTCAGAAGAGCCAGAAGCCAACTTGAGATTCGGATTCCTTTATGAAAAATAGGTCTTCACCAAGTGTGCTCAATACAGCGTCGGCAATTCACAGAGAGGAAATTGCTCTCCACTTAGAAGTCGACTCCAGGAGTACACATACCTCCCAGAACATACATATGTATATATACACAGAGACAGAAGGCATATATACACACCTGCATAGGAACAAACACATGTCTGTACATACTGTGAGTAGGCGACAGCCAGCTTTTTTGAACACCCATTTATTAATTCAGCAAGAAGCTCATTTGCCTTCTTTCTACTGCAAGAGAAGTACCAGTGCATATTTCTGAAAACAACAGACAAAAGGGAATTGCCTGCCATTCAACACCAGCATACAGTTTGTGACAAAACCAGAAAGACAGAGAAATCCATGACTGTGCTTAAAGGTCATGCATAAACAGTGCACTCACAGCCCTGTATTTGGTCGTAGTCTGACTCTCCTGGACCCAGCCACTTCAGGAGTGTACATCCTCCCCCCAGCTCCTTCATTCATAAAATGAGAGGATGGACCAGGTGTTTCTGAAGTCCTCTCCAGTTTGGAAACCATGCAACTCTACAAAAGGAGACCTGAAAGGCTCTAAGCATTGTCAAGTATTTTTGTCCCTCCTTAAGTAATTAATGGATATTTTCAAGCATAATTCAGTTGGTAAGGATATTAGAGTCAATCACACCGACAGGAGCTAATTCTGTAATTGATTAGAAACTAATTGGGAGCTTTAAAGAGCATTTTTGCTGAGGTTGCTAATGACACAGAGAACCAGCTACTACTGGATTTCAAGGACCCAGACCCCCTCACTTTCAACAGCAGGAGAGGATTTCAACTCCCCCACCATCTCTGCTCCAACACAACAGCCCCACTTTCACCTGTTTTCCTTATTTAGGCCTTCCTATGAGGTTTTGTTTGAACAGACAGATGCACAGGGGAAATTTTTAGCTCACTGCTGCAAGGTGAAGAAATCCAAGTGGAAAGCTCTGTACGCGCATGCGCACAAGTAAGAGCTCCACAATGAGCAGCTAGTCAACCTGGGGCATCCAGTTACTGACCACAGGCCTGAGTTACCTCATCTGTAGAATAACCCAAAACTCCCTTCCCTCTTCATTATAGGGTTATGTCAGGAATCACACATCTCCATACAAAGACCCATAGGAAAGTGGCAAGTACTTCCTGAGCACCCCATTCAGAGACGATGGGTATTATATTTAGTCCCCTTTTATATTTCCAGTGACAATGCAGAGCTTCCTGTGTCAAAGACAATGAGAACTGGAGAAATATTGACCTATTCTATGAAGTATATGTTACATGAAAGCAAGTAATGTAGGATGGGCAAGAGGCCAAGATATTATAAACAGTTCATTTGTTGTACTTTTTGGTTTGGTGATGTTGACTTTCTCTGAAATCTTTTCAGCCCTCAAAAATAAAAAATAAAAATATATATATTAAAAAAAGGAGGCCAAGAAATAAATTATTTCATTTAGACAAAATTACAAAAGCTAGAATAACTAAAGGCAGTCATGAGCAATACATCAAACCTTTGTCTCGATAAAGGAGAACTGTTAACACTTTAATAGCTATGAAACGAGTCACTCAATTAATTTCCCACATGCTGAAACAGGTAACAATACATTTATCTGCCAGTATTACACCCTCCATATCATATATTTCCACAACTGTTAACAATTTTATACAGCATAACGGGAAATAAGTTGCACCTCATGGATTCAGGGAAAGAAAGTGGCCTGAGGTCTGCTGCTAGCTGAGTAACTTGATGGAAGAGGTTTCATTTTTCTGCTTCGGTTCTGTTTGTTTTTTTCTCTTTCCCTCTTATTCATTTCCAATGCACGTGCAGAGTACTCTAAGTCAGTAAGTGAGAAAACTGGGCCTCTGGAAATACTGGCCAATGTTCCCAACACACAAGCTAGGATCCCACAGGAAGTAACTGTGTAGCTCCGTGGAACCTCGGAAGCCCTGATGGCTGAGCAAAGAGGTAACCAGAGGTCACCAAGTCCATTTCCTAGCCACAGACTTCACTGAAGGACATAAATTCCTCCGAAAGGGACAGTTGTCCATGTTCTTCAATATCACCCTCGGTCTGAATCAAAGACCCAAAGCCAAATCACCCTAAGCCATCAACTCTGTCATTCAAATGACACCACATTCACTTCCACAGCCTCAATGCAGACTGGTCAAGGAAAGGTGAGGAAACACCAACCCCATGAGTTCCAGGAGTTACATGGAGGGTACACACGCCAACCCAGAAAAAGTGAACTTCCCTGTTAATATTTCAGAGAGCTGTCAAGACCTCACCTCTGGCAGAAAGAAAATCATTCTTCACACCTTCCCTGTGGTACCCAGAAGGTTACTCAGAGGTTACACTCTGAGTAACTAGAGGAATCCTACTCATCTGAGAACAGTAAATACCCATTATTTTCCTCTTCCTCATTTTTCAACTCAGGTCTTCAGACACCCCATATTATAAACAAACCATCCTTATGGAGACTGGAAATAATCCCCAGAAGTCTCACTGATAGGCTATGTACAGTGAAAGAATTATGTGGCTGAAATCACCTTACAAATAAGGTCCCCTTAAGACTGAGCACAGGAACAATCAGCTCATCCCCAGTCTTACATGTCAACAGTGTATGCTTAGATGACAACCTGGAGCATCCCACCTGTGATCTAAACACAGAGAAGGACAACTTCATGCACTGAGGAAGAACCAGTGAGATGAGATAGAAATCCATAACTGATAACTTACTGTGGGCTTCACCACTTTCATGAATGCCCCTCTGAGCAAAGCCTCCTCCCGCTCTTGTCTGGTTACTTTCCGAGCATCTAGAAACTTCAAGTTGGGCAGCTTGTGAAGAACAAAGTATCTGGAAGGCAAAAGATGGAAACTACTCATGAAGGTTGGGGTAACACCCTCAAAGACACATACAGTCTACTGGTGCTCAAAAATTAGGTCTTCAGAAGTTTAAATCTTAGTTACTGCTTAACTAAACCTTTTTTTAAAAGAAGTTATTTATTTTGCATACAAGATCTGGGGTGTGGCTACAGGTGCAGGGAGGTGATTCACCAGAGACAGAGTAGGGAGCAGACCTACTGAAATAATACTGCTGAGGGGAGCAGCAGGCGAGACAGGAGAGGTCTGCTATGCCATGTAGGCCATCTCTCTGGCTGGGGATTTAACTCAGGCCATAGCAGTAGGAGTGTGATAGTGCTAAGGGTTAATCTCTAGGCCACCAGAGAGGCCTCTTAACTTAGCAATGAACTATTGCTCGTTGGGGGATGTAAATTATTATATTTTATAAAGACACACAACTGAACTTGAAAAACATACACTAATGGGTTTACTGATTCAAAGACAGATAGAATGCACATACACAGAATTAACCATTATATCATATCAGTATTTTTTTCCTCTGCACATTCAAAATACTGAACCCAGCTTTTTTGCTAAATGGGAAGTTCTCATAAGTTATACTATAACCTGATCAAATCACTATGTCACTGCCATACCTGTGGGTCATCTGTATCACTCTCATTTCTGAAATAACAATTAATAATTAATAACAATTAATGATCAATTTGAAGGTGAAATAGGAGCCCTAAATTTTGTCCATCAGGACAACAAACTAGGAGACACATTGTAATAACTTGAGAAACTTTGTGATAGAATTTAGGAATACATATGGCTGAGAAATGCTGCATTGAAAATCAAACAGGCTTCCTGATGACCCCTGTTTCCTATCAGCACTCAGTTACTTCCACATTAACATTGTGAAGAGTATCTTTCCCTAGGAGAAAGAAGTTGGTTTTGAAGGGATACTAATAGGCCAACAAATACATAAACTCATCATTCCTCTGGCAAGTCTTTGGTACTCATTGTGATAAACTGCCCTCAGGCAGATAGTTCTGGAATTATTTCCATGGGAATCTATCATTACCTTCCTGTATCCAGTTTCCTCAATATTCACTCATCTTCCAAGTTCCAATCCCAGTAAGTTTTCTTCTGCACCTCTAGCCCACAATGCTTTCATCCTCTCACAATCTCAGGGTACAAGGTCAGCACCATACTACCTAACAACTGTTTGTTTTCAATTGCTTTACTGGTGTTCATTTGATGTCCTTACCTACAGTGGATGCTTCATGAAGGCACAGTTAGTATTTTGCTCACTCCAATGCCATCTAGGAAAGTAGCATTGGAAGGGGCTCAGTAAAATATAAGTTCATTTTAGCTGAACAAATATTTCTTGAGCAGATCCCAGGTAGAAGCTGTTTTGGAAGCAGTGTTGGAAGAAAGGGATCTAACTTTGCACATCAAATGACTGAAAACTAACAGCTAGTGGAGGAAAAGAAGGAACAAAACACCTCGAGCAGGCTTCAAAAAACCTAATCCTGAAGGGATCCAAAGCTGTTAGGTTTTTCTCTGTAGACAGTTTCTGGGGTATTTAGTATATCTCCAAGTTCAGACAACCCCAAGGCCAATCCAACACCCCTAAGGTGGCCTCACATTACCAAGAGAATTCACACGCTTGTGCAGAGAGAAGACTTAGCTACTTAGCTGATCACTCAATGCCAGAGACAACAGCATAGAAGTTTCCAGCATAATCTTCTATTACTCATTTTTAAAGTGAAATACTTTCAAATTCTTTAGAAGTATACATTTCCTCCCCAGAAATGCCCACTCTCCAAGACTGAGGTCCTAGAAACTTGACTGTTAATTTCCTGCTTTCAATTTGACCTCAATCTATGACTTTCTTTCCTGTTCCTCCCTGTGCCTCCCCTTTCCTCTCCAAATACCCCTTAAGTTTACCCCACATGAGAAAAATTCTACACAGGGCTGAGATGACCTTTATTACCTCCAGGGAAACCCCCACTGGCCTCAGTCAATGTCAAGAAGACTTCCATCTTCTGCTTATAGCAGCAAAGTCTTGATGACAACAGATTCTTTCAAATAAAGACATGTACAGACGGAAACAATATGTCAGGAGTGACGCTCAAAGGAGTAAAGACACCCACTAAGTGTAGGGTGGGAAAAGATGAATATTCAGGTGAGGAAAACATCAGTATTAGAAAATCAGCCAGTGTTTAATGATGGAATGAAAGATGTCTTCATAGGGCTGGCAGGAACCACGGTGACAACAGACAGCACCTTGTCATTTTGCCCCACTTTGGATCACAGCCCTGAAATCAAAGAAGAGAGAGAGAGAGAGGGAAAGAGGTGCTGGCTTTTAAGTTAGTTAAAAATTTTAGCTAACAAAGAGCTGCTCTTTTCAGAGTATTCTTCTTAGACTGTTGAGGAAACAACCCACGAAATAGGCTGCCAGTGACCCCTGAAACTAGGGATGACTTAATTCCCATCCTGATAACCAACCTGGGGTTTGCAAATGGTTGCAACCTGGAGAGGTTTCAGAGACGCTAGGAAGGAATACAAAGAGGCATCCAGCCTGAGATTCAGCCTAGGGTCTAAAGGTCCTCCCTTAGAAACATCTTCTTTCATTTACTCACTCTTATATTCATGCAGCCCAGACATAATTATTGAGCAGCTACTGCCTGCCAGAAACTGTGCAGGCACTGAGAAGAAGGTGCTGTGCAAAACAGACCATGTGGCTACTCTCAAAGGGCGAATGTTCTAGCACAGTGGTTCTCAAAGATGAGCAAGAATCAGCATCTCCTGGAGTTTTGCTGAAACCCATTGCTGAGCCCATGCCACATCCACTGTGCTTGGAATGGGGCCTTGGAATTTACTTTTCTAAGAAGTTCTCAAGGAAGGCAGATTGGTCCTGCTGAGAATCACTGTCCAAGTGGAATGAACACCATAAAACAGTTTAGGGACTAAGAATTTGGGAAGGTGGCGAAGGGTCTTCTCCCCGGTTCTCGAGGGGCCCCAGTGTCTGTGGCGCACAGCACCCAGCCAGTAACCACTTCTGCCAGACCTGCCTGCCTCTGGGTGGTTTGCAACTGACTCCAAGCCTTGCTGTCAAGTGATAAGCCAGGGGGCTTTTTGCCTGCCTGGGCCATCATGGTCTTGGGAAATCTATTTCTCTTTGTTTTAGGTCATGTCAGGGTGTCAAAAGCTGCATTTTCCATCCGGAGTACAATACAAGTTTGCCATAAAAATACGAGAGGATTCCCTAAGCCACAGAATGAAGGCTTTTACAATATCAATTCAACCCTTGTAAATTTAATCCAGGGTTATTTGTTGCACCAAAATCTCTTTACCGTGATGTATTACTTAGTTACTGGGGTTATCACAGCCGTATCCTAAAGTTGCATAGTACATAAAACATTTCAGTTAACAATGCGGGAAGGTTAACTCCCCCAGATAACCTGCAATCACAAGGGCTAGTCCAGATGACATGCCTCTGTCAGCTTCCACGAGCTATTGATGGTTCAATCAGTTTGTTTTGAAGGTAAAGTACAACAAAAGGGCAGTAAACTTATTCAGACTGTCAACAGGGGCTATCGGGAATGGGGCTTGCAGGTAAGTAATTCTGGGTGTTTTAAGGCTATTATCAAACAGCAATGGTTGAAGGAAGAGACAGCTACTAATAACACAGAAGGCAGCCATCATAAACCACTTTATGGCTGAAACCCCCGTCTATAAATCCTGTGACACCCGGAGACAGCTTCAGATTTATAAAACTGCTTGTTAAGCCAGGGCACTGCTTAATGAAAAGAGATCCGTCTAAGTTCCAAGTCTCACGTCCCTAGCTCCAAAGGGCAACTTCAATTTTCCTGACCTTCCCAAGGTGACTCAGTAAAAGCCCTGGGCTGGAAGATGAAAGTCAGGGGCACTCTGACTGTGATATGGAAGGTGAGGTTATCGAGAGCAGGGATCCTGGGAAGGTGTTTAAAGACCCATTTGCCTCTGTCTGCAAAGATTCTCAAAAAGTGAGACCCACATGCAGAGCTTCTCACATTTTCTCATCACATAACCATTTTCTTAAGGTTCTTCTCTAAGAAGAGACCTAAAACTGGTAGGGGGAGAAAAGAACATCAAAACAACTTTTCTTGTTTGCTTTTTTGCTCCAAAATCAATTCTTCCTGCCCAAATCCCAAACCTCTGACATTTTTCATCTGGACTTCAAAGTAAAAGGAACAGTCCCTTTCCTCCTTCCTGCAACTGTTACCCTGGGAGAGCTGGTGGCTCCCCAGTAAAACCTACAATCACAGAAAAACTGAGCAGGACCAACACTGTCTCCTGGTGGGGTGGGCAGCCACGTTTCTTTCTTTGAGGAAACTCCACCCCCAAAATACCAAGTTTCCAGATATGGAAGGTGAGGGGTCCCTTAGGGAATGGGATGTAGTGTCAATAGCATTTTCCCTACTCCCTTCCCCATATGGCATTTGGTGTTTCCCCCCATTATTTCTTGCCTCCTCCTTGCTCCTATGCATGCGGGCGAGGGAGGCATGATGCAAGCTACTGACACCCTACCTCAGCCCTCCGAAGGCAGCAACGTGTGATCCATGAGCTGTTTCCAGTATTTCACAAAGCTGAACAGAACAGGGTGAACACGCCAACAAACCATCAAACTTCTTTGCTTTGGACTAGATGACATCAACCCCATTTGGAAACGCTGGTTACCTCATGCTGACCGAAGGCACTGATCAACAGCTAAATGTGTCTGATTAATTTTTAAAAGTTAGCAGTGGCTTCAATGTAGCATATTTAAAGAGATCGAAGCTTTAAAGTGTATGTGGGGGGGGGGAGAGAAGAAAATTAATGAGGGGGTCAGTCTCCATCATGGAAAGCCTGGAACTAACAGGGCAAAGGAAGAGCTCACATTCTGAGCTGATCTTGCTGTGTAATCTTGATTCCGTCTTTGCCGCCTTTCTGAGATGATCCATCTGTGCAATGAAGGGAACTGGC